ACATTTTGTATTACTAACTTGCCCAAGCTCTTTAAAACTCGTTAGACAACCAAAAAAACTGCAACTTTTATGATTATTACAAATACTAGTTACGGTGAGCTATTTGTGACAAGGCTCGGTCAATCCAGTGCGGTGCTAAACAATACTAGACAAAACAATTTTATACAACTAGTACCGGGTCAAGTCGCCGAAAAATTCACGTTCACTACTATGCAATATTACAAACGTTTTAGCAACTAAGAAAAACCGATGCAAGGTTGTCCTTAATGTAAACTTTGATTTGAAGTATAGTATTTCGTTGACGTATATTTTTAAAGGGCGTTTAGTTTTTTGAAAAATTTAATTTTTTTCTAAATTTTTTTATCGCATAACCAAAATTAATATTTAATTTATTTGATTATTTAAAAATCAAAAGATGGTTTTACGCAAAGATAGATTTGAGCTAAAAGCATTTGAGCAAAAACGAACATTACATAAACTTAATTAAAAGTAAATAGAAATAAAATAAAGTAATAGCAAGTAATGGTTTCTATTATTACTTTTACATTATATTTTTGCTTTTTATTAAATCATTAAATTAGCAAAAACAACAGATACATTGTTTTTAATATAGATACGTATTGTTTTAACTCCTATTACGAATTATAGGTCGACTACTACCACATACGTCATAATACATTCATTAGCATAGAATGATTTAAGCGTTAGGGATTTTTTTGGGTCAGGATTACATTTCACATACTCATTACTCTCAAATAGAAAAATAAATATTTATTAGCTAAATGCATTAGATTTGTTTAGTAAGAAAATCTGCTTAAATTAAATTATTTTCTTTTATTAGTTTGGTTTTGATAAATTTTGCTTAAGTTTTTGCAGTTTATTGTTTACACAATGGACACACTGTGTTCCTTACAACAAGAACACAATGTTTTTGCCTCTTTAAAATAAGAATCAAAGGTGCGCCAATTTCAAAACTGCCTCAATGACGTTTTAAAAAGTAAATGTTTATTTTTCCGAGAAAAAATACTTTTTTAAAAAAAAATATTTGCTTAATTGTAAATTGTATGGATTATTTTATATAAAAAATGGAATGAGAAAAGTCTTATAATTTCTTTCCAAAATGTTTAGAATGTGTACTCAAAAATAAAACAATTGTCTATATTGTCCATTTTATTTTAAAGTTCAACAAACTTTAGTGACAGGTGATAAGTATTGCCTTCACAATCAAACTCTCTTTACTTAATGTAAAAAAACTTTATCTATTTTGAGATATTTTTAGAAAAAAATGAGAACTCGCGAGCACCTTGTTGTGTTTATAAATTGAGTATTGAATTTTAGAAAGAATATTAGCAGTATCAACATGAATGACATTAACGCTAAAAATTGAGAAGTACCAAAAGACTACTTTTTTTCAACGTTTACTTCAACATTTACCTTAGTCTTCACTATCTAAAAGATATCTTAACCCTGAGTACAAGCCAATAAAGAACTACACTCATCAGAAAATGATCTCAATTTTAAAAATCTGTCCAACGACTATTTCAAGGATACATGTAAAGATTCAAGATTCTGCAAAATTATTCAATTGTTTACTGACATTCTTCAAGTTTAACTTTGATCATTAAAATGACAAATGATGCTGAGTGATCAATACTTGTAAACATTCTATTCACTGTTTGCCAACGGCCTTAAACCTTAAATTGAGGACTAAATAAATGGAAATATATCCAGTAAACTAGAGATACTTACAGTTCATTCGGAATAAAAATTAAAATCTTGCAACAACATCTGAGAGAGAGTTTGAAGTTAGACGGTTTCTGGAACATTTTCAACAAAGGAAAATGATAGGTTATTACCTATGTTCCATTTAATTATATAGATTTTTTCATAGATTTTACAAGTTTACAATCTTGCTAAAATAAAACCATTTTGGAGAATTTGTTTAAAACATTTTGCCTCTGTTTGAAGTTCAAACATACGAATTAGAAAGCAAAATTTTATAAGGCATTTTTAACACTATCAATTTCCAACAAAATGTTATAGCATTTTGTTGAAAATTGAGTAAACAGTGAAGTATGTTTACAGTGTTAAACTAAAAGACATTTTTATGATAACAAATCTTAAAACATAAAAGAACAACTGAAACAAAAAGCATAAAATGTTTTTAATAAATGACTTTAGTTCTGTTTTTTTGTATTTGGTAGGTGTAGCTTTTTCACAATTTAGGGGTCTCTTTTTCCAGTTATAAACCTTACGGTTGTCTAAAAGTTTATTAATAAAAAAAATTAATGAAATCATTTGCAACGCTATCTTTATATTCAAAATATTCAACAAGTATACTTACCATCCCAATCTCTTCTAGCATTTTCTGTACCCTGCTGCAAAAGTCCTGAATATGTAGACGGATCAAAGAAAATATTCGCCTCCATACTAAATAGTTAGCCTAGCAAACCAGCAACATCTTCTTTATGTCTACGTGTAGGATAATTTTCAAAAACATTAATCATTTTACGGACAACCAGCCGGGTAATTGCCTGGCGATAAATATTAGATATTCCTTTCGCCAAAATATTAGATATTCCTATTGCTAAAATCGATTTGATATAATCTGCTGTGACTTCAAAAATAAATATACAATATTGATGTTTGATTGATAATATGTTTTTATTAAGGGGTCATCCATAAAGTACGTACGCCAAAAATTTCAAAAAATTGACCCCCTTTCCTCCCCCCAGTTGCCATGCGTACTTTTTAGTCCTCTCCCCCTTTGAAAAGTACGTACGCTTTTGAAGTACCCCCCCCCCCCATCTTCTCTTTTCTCTTTATGAGTTAAAAAGTTAAGATTTATAAAAAAAAACATTATTTAAGAAATTTAAATATTAGGGATCGTCAATAAACTACGCCGGGCATGAGTAAAAATAAGAAGTCATCAAAAAGTGGTGATATTCTTTATATTTCAAAACGTTCCATTTCATTAAATCAATTGCTCAATACTTTTCAAAAACAATATGAAGTATAAAAAGAATTTCGGAATTTCTTCATATTTTAATTTTTAATTAATTAGCGCGTCAACAGTCTTACTAAGGGTAACAAGTTTAAAAGCTAAAGTTTTAAAGTATTGTTAAACTTTAAAAACTATTTTTGAAATTGCTATGCAAATAGTATTTTTTATAATTTTTTAAACTTTATTTTGTAAAAAATATTTTATAATAAAAATAAGATACTATAAATTATTTAAAAACTGAACAAACAACCCCCGTTTGCATTTATTGTAGCTTGTAAATTTAAGTTGTGCTTTATATAGTCAGTTAAAAATTAGTTTAAAGGCGGAATTATTAAAATGAATAATAGTGAAAAGTACAAAATTATTTACCAACAAGTAGCAAAAGCTTTGCCACAAAAAAGTAAACAGGAGCAACAGAAAGAAGCTAATAAATTGTGGTATAAAGTTAAGTATAAAGAATTGACATATGATTCAGTTTTAATAGAACTCACACGAAAAACAATGGAAAGTAAAAGTCAGTTGATATCTTTTTGGTCTAATGTTAAAACATCAAACAATCAATCTATTGCAGTGAAGCTTTCTCTCACAAACGAAATATCAGATGAGGGACCAGAAGCTTTGTTAACATCCGATGAAGCAGACAAAATAGATTTTGAAATCAATAAAACACTAGCTACTTCTTCTAAATTTGATATTCAAAAAAGTTAAAAATCACAAACGGAAGTACCAATTGATCAGCCGACAAAATCTCATACTCCACAACAAGAGAAAATTCAAACTGAAATTTCGCAGTTAAAAGAGCAACTGTTAACATTGGTAAATGTGCGCCGTGCAGGATTGATAACTGACGAACTTAAAATAAAATCGATTTTTTTAGAAAAGCAAATAAAAATAAAACAAAACCGTCTTAAAAAAATGAAACACGAGGTAATCTGTCAAAGACAACGCAGAGTAAGTTTGAAACGAACACTTAATGATATTGTCGATGACACGCCCTACTTAAAATCAAAACTTTCTAAATTCAGTAGAGAATGAAATGGTAGACCAGCTGTAATTGAAGATCAGCCAGATCTTCTTAATGCCATCGTTAACATCGCATCAATAGAAGCCGCTGCTAGCGATCGACAAAGATCGCAGGAGTTACGTTCATGTAAGACACTTGATGACTTAAATAAAAGCCTACTAAAACTGGGTTATTGTTTATCGCGATCTGCAACTTATTTAAGACTGATGCCTAAGCGATCAAACACACTTGAGGGAATACGTCACATTAAGACAGTTCCTGTGAAATTGATCAGGACTGCTAATACAGCTCGTGATAGGCATATCGATGCTGGATTTACATTTGCGTGCATGCAATACATGGATGAAGTTTGTTCAATATTTGGTCCAGATTCATGCTTTTATTTAAGTCTAGACAACAAAGCTAAAGTAACATTAGGATTAGCAGCTGCAACAAAACAATTACCAATTTTGATGCATCTTGATTATCAAGTACGTTTGCGAGATCATAATTTTTTAGTCGCTTCCAGACATAAGCTTATACCGTCTGTTTATGCAGCTTGTATTATTGATCCAAACAAATTTGCTGACGCAGTGTCATATTCTGGCCCAACGTATATTGCTATTAGATCTATGAAGCATGATAGCAGCACTGCTTTTATTTATGGCCGTGATTTGGAGCGTCTTGTTTCAATTGAAAACTTTAAGCTTCATATTTGTAGGGGAAACTGGGGTAAAATGGGGTACTTAAGAATGAAACCCTATAAAAGTCACAAAAATAAATAAAATGATTACAAATAAATGTTGAAACATTAGAATACAACATAGACAACATTGTAACAAAACAGCAAGTCAAAAGAATGTAAATTAATTGATTTATTACATTTTTTTAAAAATAACATAAAAACCCCATTTTACCCCAAGCATGGAGCAAAATGGGGTAATGGATGGGGCAAAATGGGGTCAAAGGAGGAACTCAAACAAATATGATAAATCAATCACTGCTAGTACAAATATAATCAATCACTGCTAGTACAAATATAATCAATCACTGCTAGTACATAGCTCACACAAAAATTAAGGTTTTTGTTTCTTTCATCAATGCCTGCACAAGAATAATGGGCCCGTCTGTGGCACTCAGTACATGAGACCCAACTCTCTGTGCTGCTGGAATAAAGATCCTCACAATAGAGGCATGGTGTGTCTTCATTTGATTTTTTGACAGATTTGTTTTTCTTTGCATTCTTTTTTTCTTTGGCTTCCATTAATGATCTTTTATAAGGCGAAAAAGTCAAAATAGCTGTTTTTCCTCTTTGTTTAGAAATACATTTTCTTTGGGCCTGTTTCGAGATGGGCAGCAAATGACGTGGCGAGATTGAAAAGCTTGAAAGTACAGTGGTTGATGTGCTAGGCCTACATGAAGTTGAAGATTCAGTGGCGGATGTGCTACCGGTACATGAAGTGGAAGGTTCAGTGGTTGATGTGCTATCTGAAAGTTTAGTGGCAGGAGCAGAGACAGTGGTAAGGGCTGAATTCGTGGTAACAAAACTTTCAGTATCCTCAGTAAGAATGCTCATGTCTGTTACTTCCGCTTCTATGAAATCAGCATCAGTAAATACTGACCTATCCACTGGCCAAATACCTGCTTTTTTAAATCCATTGATTGCATTAGTCATGGTAGCAGCATCAAAATATGACGCACCAAACAGTGATGCAATTTGAAATTGCGTTACCACACGCCCAGGATATGTTCTTAACCATTTCCTTAAATTATGGTCATAAAATGCAGTCAGAAGTTTCATAAACGAAATGTCAAGAGGTTGCATTTTGTGAGTGCAGTGTGGAGGCAAACAAAGGAGAATGACACCATTCTCTCTGGCAATGTCAATAAGCTCTATGCTTTTAGTGTGTGTCGCATGTCCATCTAATATTAAAAGAACTGGTGAATCTTTTGTGGCTCCTGTGTGTAATATAAATTTCTTTAACCAATTTATAAATAAATCAGTCTGGATCCATCCACTTGGGTGGCATTCTGCCCAAGCACCAGGAGGTGCTCCATCCATTAACTCTGCCTTCATGCGCTGACGGGGAAAGATTAACATAGGTGGCATGTATCTCCCACTTGCTGAACAGCAAACTACTGCTGTAACAAGTTGACCCCTTTCTGCAGATGTAAGAGAGCCAACTTGCCTTTTTCCTTTTGTGGAAATAACTTTTGACAGCGACTTAGGGACAGTAGAAATGCCTGTTTCATCGACGTTCCATACTCTTTCGACATTAATTTTATTTATGTCAATGACATTCTCAACAATCTCGAAAAATTTATTAACGGCTACTTTATTAAAGCCCATTGCTCTGGCTGCAGATGTCGCTTCAGGCTTTCTCAGTGACAAATGTTTGGCATGTCTCAACATAAAACCCTGATACCAGTTGTAACCGGCCACCCCCAACTCTTTATTAAATTTATGAGTCTTTTTTTTTCAGCCAGTTCAAAGGCAAGTTTTCTCAGCTCATAGGAGGTTAGGCCAAAAATCATTTTCTCCATCTGCTGAACATACTGAACAAGTTCTGCCTCCTCTTCCAATGTAAAGATAGTTTTGAATGCGCCTAGCGCTGAAAAAGAAATTAAAATTAAAAATTAGAATTAGAAATAACTAAATAAAGATGCTTTTCATACAAATTCATTTATAAAGAACATATACCATAGCCTATTTTCTGGCATTTAATTTAATATTTAAAAATGTGAAAAATTCCTGAATTTAGATTGTGCTTAATCCATTTACTTACTCTTTTTGCAAGCATCCTCAATATCAGGATTTTTCTTAAATTTAGCCACTGCTTTCGAGGGTAGTCTGTGGCACACCATACATTGCAGCTGCCTTTTTATACCCATGATCACCATTGATCACAGACAGTACGGCCTGCTGCATTTTGGTTTCATTCCAAGTTTGGCGTTCAGATATTCTTTTGTAATTTCTCATTTTTTTCAAAGTTAATAATCTGAAAAAATAAAATAAAACAACTTTAATATCAGCAATTTAAGTACGATTCAGTAAGAACTAAACAAATAGGCCTACTATTATTATAATAAAATTTCAGAACTATTTTTTTACTTAGCTAGACTACTTAGACTTAGATGTGGGGAATTTATTTTATGTTTCCCTGAGACACTAAATGAATCACTATTTGTTTAAGATATATATATTTCGTTTATAACGTTATACTCTACTGACTGCGAATCACTAACTAAATCTACAAAATAGCTACACATATAACGTGAGAATTGCGCAGATCCGCAATTTCCAAGTGGTTTTGAAAACTTGTTTAAAAACTGGCTTTTCACGTTTATAAGTTCGTTACGTTCTTCTAAGCCCGTGCGTATGAAGTTCTATTACAAAATAACCCGTTAATTGCTCTTTAGACGAGATTTCCAACATAGATGGCTTAGCTCAAACTAGACTTTCTTATTTTATATTTATAGTTCTATAGTATAGGCTATAATAATACTTTAACTGAACTTTAACAACAATAAAATTATATTTTAAAAATAGACTAGTATTAAGTATTAGTATTATTTATTAAAAGAACCTAGGCCTATTGAATAAAATTATAGGAGGCCTATTGAGTCTATTAGTAATTTAAAAAAATAAAATCACGTTTAAATATAAACCACATCTCATTTCTATAATTAAGATAAATAACACTACCGGGGCAAAATGGGGAAATACCCCATTTTGCCCCTTTGAGACACCCCATTTTACCCCAACATAGGAGGCATAATAAAACTGTTCGAAAAAACAAAGCAGAGAAAAGCTCATGAATATATGAGAGTCTTAATTGCTTAATATATAATATCATTCAGGAACAATAATATATTTAATTCAAAGCTTTAATTACAAAGAAGCTGCTTCTTAAAATATAATGTTAAAAAATAAGATGAAAAAGTTGACAAAATTGTATTTACCTCTCAACGACGATACTTGAAGAAAACGTGAACAAAAGTAAAAGATGGCGACGTCTCTTCTCGCGATATTTCAAATCCAATATTTTTTTCGATGCTCTGAGGCTCTGAATGGGGTGTAGTTTCAAAACCCCATTTTGCCCCACTACCCCATTTTACCCCAGTTTCCCCTACTCCAGAAGGTCAGATAAAACCTATATTTGTTGTTGCATGTGATGGAGGCCCTGATGAAAATCCAAGGTTTCCCAAACCATTGCAAGTTGCAATTGCAAGATTTATAAAATGGGATTTGGATGTCTATCTAACAGGAACTCATGCACCTCATTATTCAGCATATAACAGGGTTGAACGGCGTATGGCTCCGCTGAGTCGAGAGTTAGCAGGATTGGTTTTGCCACATGACCATTTTGGGACACATTTAAACGCATCTGGAAAAACAATTGACGTTGATTTAGAAAAAAAAAATTTGCTAAAGCTGCAGAAACTCTAGCTGAGATATGATCGGATATAGTAATTGATAACTATTCTGTTTGTGCTGAATATGTTGAACCTTTCCAACTGTCACCAATACCAGAGCAAGATTCAAAATGGATTGAAAATCACGTAAGACAAAGTCAATATTTTTTAATGATCGTTAAGTGTGATGTTCCCAATTGCTGTAAACCTTGGCGAAGTTGCTGGAAAAAATATTTTCCTCAACGTTTTTTACCAGGTCCAGTTGTAATGTCTCATGCTGCTGAAGGAATTCTTATTCCTGAGCCAAAGGTAGCACGAAATATTCCTAAACTTTACTTTTCTTCTCTAGCGCAGCGCTTGGGATATATAGGTTCAAAAATTTCGATGGAAGCTTCCTTTGATTTGTATTGCCCATCAATTTCACAACAAAAAATTGATCAAAGAACTTGCAAATCCAGCAAAATTTATCCAGCTTTTAAAGCAAGTGTTAAACGCCACAAATGCGTGTTTAGAAACATAATCAACACGACCTCTGAGGAAAATAAAAATGACAATGAAAACAATGATACTCATTTAACAGTAAATGAAAGTAATTCTGATCAAATTCATGTCATCTAAAACATATTTGATTGGGTGAAATCACCCTTTGATTTAGATCACCAACAATTTAAATTAATTGATTAATGAAGACTATATTAATAATTTTGTTTATAAAATATTAAAACGATGTTTTGAAACCTATAAAGATAACAGTTTTTGTTTTAAATTGTGATTACTTAAAAAAATTTTATCACCCTGCCCTTAACCACAACCTAATCTTTAAAGGTACCAAACAAACATTCTCGCCAGTTTGTTGATTTTAAAGGTTTCCTGTTTGCCAGCAAAAGCGCTTAAAGATCAACTACACAAATCTTTCAACAAGACTTTTTTGTTTTATTTTTTGTTAATGATCTTTTAAACGATTGAAAAGTAATACACTTCACTGTCACCTTGTTGTTCAAAGTTAAAAATTTTCAAACACTAAATTGATTGCTTGCATTTTTTTAGCTGAAATACTTTTCAAAAATTTATAATTTACAGTTTTCTCAAGCTTCTTAGTTTATTATATTTATCAAAAAAATTACCCTATATAAGATGATGCCCGTTTATTTGGGTTAAATGTTGTGGATTATTATACTAAAAACCCACAACATTTTTACCGAGCCCATTAAAACTTATTGTTAAATTTAAACTTCTTTTACTAATTTTAAGGTTCCTTTAGTAAAAAGAACTTTAAAGTTTCTTTTTACTAAAGGAACCTTAAAAAATTGTAATTAGATCTCTTTTAAGGGCAAGTATACTTCCCTCCCTCCCCAACTGACATTTCAAAGTCATGGTCATGGTTTTATTATTTAAAAAAAATTATTTATTTATTATTATATTCAAAAATATCTAGTTATTTATTAAAAAACATCTAGTTATAGTTAAGTATTTGTTAGTGGTGATAAGTTAGAAATACAAGCATTAACTTAACCCTTCCCCCCCCCCCCCCCATACGCTTTTGTACGCTTTTTGAAGACACCCCCCTCCCTCCTATGAGCGTACGTACTTTATGGACGACCCCTAACTGTGCAAATTCTGAAAAACTTATTGGCAGAAAAACTTTCTAAAAACCCAAACAGTAAATGAGCTCCAAGATTATACGCTGAAAACATTGCAAGAATAGCAAGAAGTTGAACAGGTTCCTTATTCATATTAACAGTCTGACTCTAACTGTTTCAATTGCTTTACAACAGGTTCAAAGATTTTTTCATATTCATACTTTTTGACATCTTCAGCAAACTAAAGTGCAACCAGGAGTATGCTGGACATTTTTGAATTAAATTCAAGTGGAATATTTTCAATCAATACAATATAGCCCTTCTAACTTATGGACTGATGTATGGCTTCCTAGCGGATTACAAGTTTCAAATGCATCTACAAAAAAATGTACAGCTTTTGGATGTCGAACAAAGAAATCGTTACTTTTGTATGTTTTTGTATTCAATTTCTGAAACTGGTTCAGAGCTGCTATAAAATCTTGGATAAGACTAATACTGTTATTCATTTCTAAAACTTTACTAAGCAATATTGCTAATGGCACTACTTGAAACGTTTCTTCAACTAATGTGGTAGTCATTTTCGTTAAACTACAAAATCTTTGTTCTTCCTATGAACCTAGCAAAAATTCTTCTGAAGGAATAAAATATTCATTAACAGTTAACCAGCGAGTACGCTTGTGAGTTGTATCAACATTTGATAAGACTATGGAAATATTCTCTAACTTTAAAACTGCTATATTTTTGGTAGCTGCTATACCATTAACATCTTCACACAGTTGCTCCACAACTTGTAAAGAAAAAATTTTATATCATTCAACAGTCCCTGCATATTTTCGGTAACCATTTGCACATTTTTTGAGTTATGTTAGCTTTACTCAAAAGACTTGTTAAAAACATCATAAATATTAAAAATTGTTAAAAACATCATAAATATTAAAAATTGTTAAAAACATCATAAATATTTTTCAAGATTCACATTTTTATATTTGCTGACCGGTTCATCAAAGTTACTTAAATCCATAGCACAAACCATAGACTCTGTATTGTTCAATTTGTTGTCAACAATTTTAAAGTCAACTACAGTATCGGACAAAACAAGTGCAACCAAATAATGCTAATTTAGTTTCTTTATATAAAAGTGCTGCATTTTTTCAATTTAGAGAAATAATTATGTAACTGTTTAGAGACAACGTTCCTCAATTTTTATTCATCACAAAGTTCATTATTTTTACACGAAAATTATTAAATTAATCAAAAGTATTTAAAAAGTTGATTTCCTTCTGGACAAAACAAGTGCAACTCCACAAAATGTTGACCAAGCTGTATTTCGCTATCAATATTTCGTGACAAATCCTTTGTTGTCGATCACAGCCTTGCATCTTCGAGGCATAGATTTGATCAGATGATCAATGAAACTTTGTGGAATCGCTGCCCAGGCCTTTTGGATTTGTTGAAACAGTTGATCCTTATTTGATGACGGTTGACGATCTCCCACAGGTTCTCGATAGGGTTGAGATCCGGAGATTGAGTCGGCCAATCCATCACCGATAAGTGGTTGTCTTGAAACCACTGCTTGACTACTTTTGCAGCGTGTTTCGGATCGTTGTCTTGCTGAAAAACCCATTTTATTGGCATATTCCATTCAGCATGAGCTAACATAACATCTTTCAGGATATTTTTATACATGAAACGGTCCATTATTCCATCGTTTCGATGTATCGTTAGCAGAAAAACACCCCCAGACCATTACATTGCCTCCACCGTGCTTCACGGTCTTATGGCAGTAAAGTAAATTGAGGCGTTTTCCGGCTGGTCGATGTACACGGCAAATGCTATCACTCCCAATGATGTTGAACTTCGATTCATCACTGAACAGGACAGTTCGCCATTTCTGAACATTCCAGTCAATATGAGATGAGGAAACAGGAGTCTTTTCTTTTGGTTCTTTAGTGAAAACAGCGGTTTCTTTGCAGGGTGTCGAGAAAACAATCCGGCTTCAACAGCACGTCGTCTGATTGTTCGGTCCAATACAGGCAGCTCTAATTGCTTTTGTATCTCGACTGATGATATCCAGGGATCTTGACGGAT